TTAATTAAACTTCATCTTGTCCTTTCCCAAAAATCTGTCACAACCACTTCTTCAGCAGGACCTCTCCTCTGAAGGCAGGACATGCATAGGAACATGTTCACCCCCACTGTCATTTCCAGCAAACTTTCAACCTCAACATGCAACCTCCAACCTGAACTTTCTATTGGGTTGGATAGAAAAATCCTGCTTTTACTGAAATGGAAAACTTTCTGGGACAGTCTGAGCATGAGCCCAGCCAGCCAACCTGGGAGAACCAAAGACATCATCCAGTGAGACAGGAGAAGAATGAAAATAGTGATTTTAATATAATTTACAGCAAACTTACAGTATGTATTTCACATCACATTATTTCTAAACTGCTCATCTGGAAAATATAAGCTGCAAAAATACAGAACACAGTACTCAAAATATATCGAGCATGTGGTTTCTCTTTCTTTCTTTCTTTTTTTTTTTTCTTTAAATCAATTGTACAGTGAAACATTTCCTTTTCCAAACCAGGTTTTGCTTTGTTTTGGAAGTGCTGCTAAACACCTGCAAAATTACCAGCAGTCAAACCAGCACACTTCAAAAACCTTTTCAAGGACTGCTTTTCCTTGGGCATCCACAGCCTGAGGCAGGGGCAGCGGCACATGGGCTCATCCAGGTCCCACACAAGCTGCTACAGACCATCTGTGGGAGATGTGCTGTGTAGGATGAACCTTCTCCACAACCAACCACCCACAAATGCTGCTCTGCCCAGGTGACTGTAAAGGACAGCAATGGTATGAGGGACAAACATCACGGACTGGTCTGGTACAGAGGTAGGTAGATACTCCTCCAGTGTTGTGGACCCTGCAGAGAGCTCTGCAGGGGAGTTTTGAGCCATAGGTGTGACAAACTGCATGGGGTGGTCTTGTTCTCCAACAGGACAATTAGTGTGGAAGCATCCTCCAAGCACCAATGGAAGATTACAGTCACACACCGGCTGCAAACACTTGTCAGAGAAGTCCTGAGCTTCTGAAGCCTGGAGAAACTCCCACCTCCAACCTAGTTAAGAGATGCCTCAGGATTTGGAGGGCACATGGCAGACCTGCCTCACAGAAATGTGTTATTTATTACACCATGGAGAAACAGAAGGATGGAGAAGGGAGTGGGTTAAGGAACAAAGTAAGTTCCCGATATTCTTATTAGCCAAAAACACAAGCCCCTCAGTCTCTGCCAGAGACACAGAGGAGCCAGCTGGTTTAGAGCAGAACTTCTTTCTCAATCTGCTGTGAATTTTAAGCTGTCAAGTTTGCTCAGCTGTAGCTGCCACTAAGGGATCTCAGGGCTGGAGGTTAACCAGGTTACACAGGCAGGGCATATGCTGCTGGTCACCCTCTGCAGCAGGAAAACAAAGCAAGGAGAAATAAGCCGAACTGAAACTTTGCTTTCCCTTCACCATGAATGAAGCACAGCCAAGGACTGGCTGGGCAGCAGTTGCTTCTGCTCAAAATCACTTCATGTCATGAGCTGTTCTCCTTCTGCCTGTTTAAGCTGCCCCCACTCCCTCCCTTCTGGCTGGTTTTCAGATGGTGCTCGGGTCTCATCTATACAGGGCAAAAGGAATTTTAAAACAGTCTTACTGCAAACATTCCCCATCTAATGCCATTTATGCATTGCTAGCTCACATGACTCCAAACATCCCCGTGCCTGGAATGTGATATAAGTACATACAGCAGGGAAAAAAAAACATTTCTGCAGACTGCATTTGACTTGTATCAAAATCCTAACGAACACCACATTTATTGTACTTTATTTACATGGTAGTCACGTATAATATAATACAATACAGCGTTCCATTTGCAGTGGTAGGCACTATGGGTTTTAAAAGGTCACAGCTCTTCCCCTGCTCCATCTCCACCCCTCCTCCCTACAGATGTGGTACCGAAGTGAACTGAGAGCCCCCTGTTGTGCGGTCCCAGCGCTGCTCCAGCTTCCCACTGAACCCGCTCTGAGACAGCTCCCTCCCAAAAGTGGGTGAGGGAAGCTGCTTTCATGTGCTAACACGGAGACTCCCAAACCCCGGTGGTCCCTGACCACTGGCAGCCCTTAGCATCTGTCAGGGGCAGTCATGCACAACCTCCTCACCATGCTTTGCACCAAGAACATCATGAAGGCAACGTGGGGCTGTAGACAAGTTACAGACCCCTGAGCACAGCGAACAGGCCACCTGCAAACACAGAGCACCGTTTGTTAAGACTTCAGGGAAACGGCTGTGAGTCGTCCAGAGGGATCACCATCCTCCCCTGATCAGGCAGGAAGCATTGTGGATGAAGAACAGGGGTCATTTCTTCCCTTCAAGTTCACAGTTAAGAGTTGTGAGGCACCAAAAACATAGCACTGAGATGCAGTTTGCACTGAGGGGTAAATGCACTGGTATTTGTGCGATGCCGTACTGCAAAAAAAAAGGGGTTTCAAGGGCTAAGATATATGTGGCAGAGAAAGATGCCTTTTTGCTGTCCCACCAATGGGCAATTCAGCTGGGAAGAACTAAGATGTTAGGCCATATACAACTCTCTTAATTCCCAAGAGGTTTTTGCTTCCGATCCAATAGCTGTGCAAACATCACAAATAAAATTTACACCACCTGCTTCACCTCAATACCAATTTGGTTTCATCTGGGTTCATACCCTTCTGGTGTTTGCTCTCAGTAATTACTCAAATGAATGTGTTAAGTGGTAGGAACAGTAGGAAAGGCTGAGAATTTCAAGCATCTGTGAGAGAATATTCCTGGGAAGTGGACTGTGAGTTGGAAGCCAGCACTTTGGCTGTCTTGGAGCTAGTATGTGTCCAGTGGCTCCCTGCCCACTGGCACTGAGCAAGGATCCTCCCACTCAACTCCTGATCCCACACTTTTGAACTAAACATTTGTACAGATGAGAAAATTCCTGTATAGGGAACTCAGGGAGCAGAAATATCCCGTGTGATTTCTATGTCCAGCCAGAACAAACCAACGTGTATGAATTACAAGAAAGCTTTTCCAGCCCCTCCAGACCACAGATGATATGCAGAAATGACCTTGCAAATACACTTGGAAGCATTTTCTTGGTTCTCTCAGCAATTCACAAGAAAGAAATAAAAGGGAAAATTCATTTATGAAGTTGCTATAGATTATTTGCTGAGTTGGAGCTGACAAGTTTCTTATTGCTTTCTGCTATTTGCAGGCACCAACTTTGTGTAGAACAAGCCCAGCACTACAAACTGTCAGGGCATGGCTAATCTTTTCCTTCCTAGGGTGGGACACCCTTCTCTGCCACACTTAATCTGAATAAAGTGGGGTAAACATCACAAATTCATTGTACTCCAAAGACCCCATCCCTGGGGTCGCTCCATTCACCAAACAAACAGAGACTGAAGAAAGGTTCTGACAAGCAAAACAGCATCAACACTACAAACATCCTACGGTCCTACTCCTTCAGCCATCTAAATGGATTCCTCTGTCCACGTGACTTCTCCTGAATTCCCTGTGTCCTTCTGGGACCAAGGGATGCTCATAGATGAGCAGCTGTGACAAGACTAAAGCCTGAAAGAAAAGCTGTCCATTTTCATACTCTGCCACAGAAAATACCAGTATTGCTTCTGAGCTGGCAGAGCTTCCTCCTGCTCCACTGGATTCAGGGAACAGACAACGGCCAAAGATTTTAGTTGGCATCACTAGTACCTCATGTCTAAGATCTGCTGAAAGGCCATTTTTCAGCAAAGCAATTGTATTAAGACTCAGATTGGCTAGAAATGTCAATGGAATGATAGAAAACACAATTTGCAGCCTAGAAGAAATAGATTTAGTGTATACGAGCAGAATAAACTATAATATTTTGAGCATCTGTAACACTGAGACCTGCTGGCATCCCAGGCAAATGTAAATGCCACTCAGTAACTCTGAATGCCTTGTATTGACTTGGTATTGCTGAGCTGTGGTTTGCCATTGGGGAGAAGGAAGAACTGTGGCTGGAGAAAGGATGCTGATGGTCAGTTTGGAAGAAATGCCCACAAACCATGGGTCTAGGGGAGGCAGGGCTATCCAAGAGCATGGAAGGGTGGATAATCCTTTCAGAGACACCAAAGGGCTCAGTTACAATGTCTTTTTTTCCTCGGATCAATCTCAACCATCAGATAACCGCAGCTGGGCCTGGCTCATGCCAAAGACTCCCATCATATGATTGTCATATTAATAAACTGCTGCCTATGTTCCCACCAATTGTGTCTTGGCTACCTGTCTCCTGGAGTTGCTTCCAACAAAACAGGTGAGTCCCAGCAGCAGTATGGGATGTTGGGAGAGGTGAACTCAGATCTAGGTAAGAAAAGCCAGAACTCCTAATGCAGATGGGAGGTCAGTATTAATGTTTACACACAGGGGTGCTCTGCCCTATGCACAGAAAGCCTGTGAGCTTTGCATGTATTAATCAGATCCAGAGAGAGAACAACAACAAAAACTGCTTCTGTCTGCAAACACAGTTCACGTGAAATTAGGGGGACAGATGAGCATGGCTGTGTCTAAAGGCAAAGCAGGAATAAGTCTGGAAACCCTTGTCAATAAAGACATAAAGCTGTTATCACATCAGTCCAGTGAAGCATTTGCATGTATGTTTTATACTGACAATTCCCCACATCACCTGCCAAGAATAAAAACAACATCAAACCAAGAATGTTGAAGTCTTAAGAAAATACCAGGCCCAGCACACTGAGCTGTGACAAACTCACATGGCAGCAACAGCCAAGGCTGGCTCAGGGGCTAAAGCTTCACAGTGCTGGTAGCCTTTAGGTTGTCTTGGGTTGGCTGTGGAGTGAAACTACTCGTTGTGAGATGGAGTCACCTTTCTGTGTCCTAGGACCACCTTTACTGAGAAAAAACGTGTGTCTGTCTGAGACTCAAAGGTGAACCTTAAGTACATTGCCTCCAACAGCAATGTGATGAACTTAAAACTCTCATGGGGATAGAAGGGACTCCAAATCTCTTTCATTCCCTTACTTTTTTTTTTCAAGGAAAAAGAAGTCAATGCATCTCAGCCATTTGGAAATACTCCAATCACTTTCCAAATGTCCGCAGACCATCAGTTCAATTCAGAAGCATTTTGAAGTGTAGCTAACTCAGCTAATGGAAGCTAATTCCTCTCTGCATCTTTCCCTTCTCACCTTCTGAGCAAGGTGAGACCCAATCAAGATGAACTGTAGCTGCCCATAGGAGTTCAGTGCATCTCGCAGGGGTATGGCAGTGGGAGGTCCCCATTAGCTGAATTCCCAAGGAATGGAAGGTTTGTGATATTCAAGTCATAATTCAAGTGATGGCCTTTTTGGGCCCATCCTACATCCAAGATGTGCTGGGCAAAGTCAGAAAAACGGATGATTTCTGTATGTATAAAAAGAAAGTTGTGTAAATGCATCATCTTTTTAACAAGGGTGCAAAGAAACTGATTCTAGTGTCATCTGCACCAATTTTAGATTGGGGTCCCCTTCTGATTCCACCAGGGCTACGCCAAGGTGGGATCTGTGCAAGGGAAAGGAAACCCCAACCTGAAGTCATGCAAGGCCATTGGGCAATCCCAGAGAGACTGGGATTCTCAAGTAGTTTATTTTTACAAACATCCCATTCCTTAGCAGACAGCCACACAGGGAACACAGTGCTTGGAAATGTCAAAATAACATTTCTGAAGAGACTGAGGTCTCAACAAACCCCTGAATTTCAATGCCCATGAATATGGGAAAAAAAATTCCAGCATTCCATTCTAACTCCATCCTTGCTCTTAAGTTTCCTGCATTGTTAAGGCAGTTGAGGGATGGAAGCAAAGTGCTGACAGGCAAAGGCCCATACTTGCAATTTGGGAAGCAGGAGGATGTGTGACTCTTTTAATTTGTTATTCTATAACAAACATTGGGTTGCAGGAAAAACTAGCTTGTGGTTTTGAAATCAGAAAAAAACCAAAATGCCTGCTGGGATGGATGAAGCTTTTGGTCTGTGTATTTTCTTAAAACTAAAGCTCTGTTCTTAAATCTATACCAAAGCACTGACAGCAAAGCCCTTCGCAATGCAGGCATTGGATACAACCTTGGGAAAAAAAAAGAGTGGGATGAGGAGAAAGCTTTTCAAAAGTTGCATTATCAAAAGAAATAAAATAACAATCACGTAGGAATTTCAAGTTACAGCTTAAAAATAATGTAAGTAACCCCATTCAACTGCATCTCCCATATATACTAAGAGAAGAGATCAAATGAAAAGAAAAGAAAACAAAAATAAAAACTAAAACATTCCGTGCCCTGGAATCCTGCTTCTATAACTCCGGTCAAGGGGGACTTTAGACTGCACCGACAAACCACAGCTTGTGAACACTGGGAGTTTGTTTTGCATCATGTCAGCATGCTATTGTCCTTCACCTTGGACTTTCAGAGGGGAAAATAATGAAATTCTGAAAGGGGTTATGGAATTTCAAGCAATCAGGCTTTTAGAAAGGTTCTATTCTGTGACATTTGTGTTTGAGTCTGAATGTGTGTGTATAGTATAAAATTATGAGCTAACATTTGAAAAGATAGCAGTCTAAGTAATAAATCTGCAGAACGAAGAGAACTGTACAGAATGATTTCAAAGGCTTATACTTGACAATTATATATATTCTATGAGACAGTTATGCACCCTGTGCCTTTTGTAAATTCATTGTTTTATGGATGCAGTATCTCTATTTTAGCAGACAGGATACACTAAACCAATCTAATGATCTAAAAAGCATCATTTACCACCCAGCGTAACAATGGCACTGCATAGCTTAATAACCTTTTTTTTCCTTAAACTCCTTCATCAATCAAGTGATTCTTAACATGGCTGAAACCCAAGAATCAAATATCTGCAGTTACAATATTGTGGAGTATTTGGCACAGTGGAGTTTATTTGATACACCCTTTTTTCCTGCCCTTATTGTTGCTGAACATATAATGCTGTGCATAAATTACAAAGACATGTAAAGTCAGTCAAATGGAAGCAGTTTGATACCCCACACCCATGTTGCAATGCCTAGATAAAAGTAAAGTCTGCTAAAAAGGTGTTGAACATGAGTGGCAAGTTATCAACCCTCTGTAATTGTGCCAACTCTAGGGTGTCCATTGCCAGCAACGGACAAGGACTTGGGGAAGATCAGCCCCTCCAACAGCTGCATGGAAGTGACATCCAGCATTTGACTCAATATGCCAGGTTTCTAAACATCCTCAAATTCACAACAGCTTCAAAACTCAAACAAAAAAAGGAGCTTTTTGTTATGATGCTAACCCTTAAAACCCTTCTGACATTTAGTCCATCGGAAATGGGTCTGGTTCCTGGGGAAAGATTCATCAAACACCACCAATTTATATTCCTTCCCAGCAGGAATGTTTTGGAAAACAAAAATATGCATACAAAATAAGTCTGACCCCCATGCTTCTTGTAATCAGATGAAAGCTCCCCCACGATTTTTACAGGCTTAGGTAAGACTTCATTGCAAGAGCAAAACCGAATCTGCTCCTGCATGGATGCTTCCCAGGGAGCTGAATGAAAGTTTGAGTTGCTCAATGCTGGCCAGCCTCTGCTCCCATAACCCAGCCTTCCAGAGGAACACTATTTCCACATCTAAGGGCAAAACGTGGCATCCAGGAGGGGAGGCTACTCCATCTTCCTCACATGGCTTCCACTGAAATCAGTGGAATTTCTCAGGTGAAGAATAAAATACCAGTTGTGAGGGTTGAAGGATTAAGGTCAGTATTCCTCTCATCTTGTACACGTACACACACACACACACACACACTTTAAAGAAAACATCCACCACACAATTTCTAGATTGCAAATTATATATATATATATCTTTAAAAACCGGAGAGAACATAAACAGCCTCTCCACATATATATGTATTCACTGAGTCACATAGAATATGAAAAAAACTATATTATGTAAATCATCATATTAGCTATAATTTTCCAACTGACAATTGTTTTTATAGAGACACAGTGCATTCGTTCTCTTTTTTAAAAACATATTATGTGTCTTCATTGGCTTGGTAGCATATTAGAATGAAGGCGTATGGATAAAAAACGCAGAGGATTAAACAAACCCCTTGAGTCACATTATGTTTGGGTGAATTAAACAGGATCCTTCCCCAAACTAGCATAAATAAATCCCCCCTATGGAAAAGTGTCAGCGATTTAAGGGTTAACATAGATCTGAAAATAATTTTAAAAAAACATCTTATTAGAGGACTACACAGATAAGTATTTGGAACTCGTCCCCCTTTAAAAATGACAGCACGTTTGGCAAGTGTGAGCAAATGTCTTGAACTCTACTGGGTTTGAGATCTGAGCGCAGTTATTCACAGACAGCCACAGAGCTGCAATCTGCAAATAAGCCTGGGCTGGAAGGACTTGGATACCCCTGACAGCATTGCTCGCCACCGGGAAGGTTTCCAGCAGCTTTCAAGGTATTTATCGTGGACTCGTGGCTGGTGACAGAGTGTGACTGGTGGAACGACTCCAGCACTGCTCCCTCTTTGCCACTGCAGAGCAGAGCAGGTTTGAGCAGCAGTACCCAGACTGGCCAACCCTTCAGCCCGTGCTGTGGGTGCTCCACACACCCCCCAGGACCCCGTTTGCAACCGCAAACACCTATTGCCATTATCACCTCACTTTCTCTATGCCTCATGCCCAAGCCCGCCCGTGTGCTGAGCTCTCCCATGAACCTCTGCAGACGCCCTCCTTGGGAGCTCGTACTGTCATCAAGGGGGCTGGTACCCAGCCACAGATGGCTCCCTGCTTTCTCCATCACCCTGCAGGATGTCACAAGTGATCCCATTAGAAGATGCTGTTCTCAAGAATCATGGCTGGGTCTGACTTTGAGGAAAAGACAAAAGTTTCCTGTGTTGCCGTTGTTGTTTCGCAGTTGTGTATCTTCATTCGTGCTCTCTCCTTGTTTTTATTAAAAAGGACCCTTGTATTATTAATATAGTTCACCCCTCCACAGTCACTATAAAACAGACTCCATGTTTTCACACCACTCATGATCTTCAAGGTTATAGATAAATTTTGTCCTATGTGGTTGACTTTGGGGCACTGAGTCCCGCCCCAGATTGTCTAGGGTGAGAGTAGAGGCAAAAAACTCACTAGTGCTGAGACCACCTTCGTGGTTCTTGATGTATCTTTTATAGTTTTTCCTCAAGCACTGCCAGGTGGTTGTGTATAAGATGAATGCAAAAGACTTCAGGGCTATAGCAATACTAACATACAGGTATCTATAGACCACGTTGTCGTACAGGGCGCAGGCTCCTTGCTCGCCGCAGAACGTGCTCCAGAATAGACACGTGGAGTCAATTCCAGCCCCAAAGATCAGCGGAGGTGGGATAAAACCTGTCAAAATAAGAGAGACAAATTATGCTTTTATGATCCTTATGATAGAGAGAGAGGACGTGACTGCAGTGAATGGAAAGAGGGCACTTTATCAAGGTTAATGGTCCCAGCTGCAGCCTGTGATTTTAATTTTTAAAGTTCTAAATCAACCTAAACCACGTCTGTGGATGAGTTTTTAGCTTGGACTTGATGTCTACGGAAGAATTCCTGCTGATATCAACGTGCAGCAAGGATTTTACTCAAGTTTAAGTGGCTTTTATTAAGCTTCTCGTTTGCCTAATGAGACTGAGGAGGGGTAAATGAAAGAGGAGGAGGACAGCCTTGCAACTATACCCTCTGTTTAGATACTGGCAATTCCGCACTTTAGGGTGTTCACCTGAAGGATGTCACAGCTCTCCAGTTCAGAGCCTGAAATCGGCTGGGACACAGAGTTTTGGACCTTTCCCTGATACAGGGAAAGGTTTTCTCTGGGTCTAAAGAAAAGAAACAATGACCTCTGAAAGATGTCAAAGATGTATTCTGCAATGAAGGGAAAATTTCAGAGTGCCATTAAATGAAATATCACAGCAGGATTCTCCCACAGCCACTGCAGCTAACTACCAATGAGTGTTTCTCAATCATAGCTTGCAGCAGAGCTGCAATCTTAAAGCAAAGTAATCACTCCAATCTCATTTAACTAATAAAGTCAATGTTTTTCTTCTCTATTTTTCCCCATCCTACCGGGACACTGTAGCAGCCCCCCCATTTCACATTACCCTGATGGTGATTAGGACATTCACGTTCCAGCTCTGCACTCCCCAGCCAGCACATGTGCACCAGGAGTGCAGCACTCAGAAGAAAATGTGAATGTTCTAACATAATGTAACCATTTCTCTTCCTTCTGCTGTATTTATGGGGGGAGGCTGGAAGCAGATAACCCTTGGGAAAAGACCCTGATTGATAAAGTCACTGCTGTGAGTTAAGACAGCAAGCAAAGGAGAGCAACGTATCTACTGAAATCCAACAGCACGTAGGCACAACATACCCCTGTTGGTATCACTTCCTCCATAGGTGCTGTGATGCCAGAGACTCTATAAATATATATGAAAACAGACACAGGGATTGTGGTTTTTAGACAGGAAAGTGTTTAATCTCAGATCCAGTTTCATCATTAACCTGGATTTCCAGGCTTAAAAAAGATACTTTCCTTCAGCTTGTCATGAGCAAAGTAGTGACATTCATGATGTGTATCCTAAGACTACAAATAAATTGGTTGTCTTCACTGTTCCCTGTGATAACTAGGATCTCTTTATTTTATTTTGTTGATGACTAGAGCTCTGCAGATTTTGTTTGATCTTCCTTCTATGTTAATAAATGCAGGAATTAAGAAAGGCTATATGGGCTTTTCGTACTCATTTTAACCAGTCATTAATAGCACAAATGTAGTAAATAAAACCAAATGATACGAAAGCAAGATAATCTGTTTGTTAGAAACACTAGTTTCTAAACATCACATCTAAAAACCTGGTTATGTTCCGGAAAAAATGTCAGTGCTAGCTCTCAGTTTGTCATTTCAACGACTGGAAATTCCAGACATTTTAAGTTAAAAGACTCTTATTGTTGAAACCTGTGAACAACCACACACTGAACCTGGATTTTAAAAATTCAGCTGGGCTCTGCCACAGAAAAGCAAGAGGATGTGCTGCTGACTGCAGTCTGTGTGCCTACTGCTGCTGGATGGCACCTCAGGAGGTAACATTCACATGTGGCAGTGAGGAGCCTCGTGCTTTCTGGAACAAGAGAAAACTGGATTGGGATCATAATTTTGAGGTGTGAGCCCCTGCTTGTTAGCATGCTGAGAGATGTTGATACAAAGCTTTGGAGATGTACAGGCTGAACTTCAGAGAGAGCTACCATCCCCATCTGCTGGCTTCAGCTGGCTTGCCTGCTTTCCACAATAATTTGGCCTGGAAATTGCTCCTCATAAGACTTGAGGAAGGGCCTGTTTTCACTTAACTCCAAAGCTACTCCTCTGTGAATGCAGGCATGGATGTGGATATGGAAAACTTTTATCAACCAGTGAGTGTTTTGGGTTGTTTTTAGCAGAGGAGAGGACAAGACTCCCCGAGACAAGGGAGCTGAGGGGTTGCACCACAGATTGGAAACTCCTGAGAGAGAAAGACTGTGGGGTTTTGTCATGTTAGAAGAAGAAGCAAACAACAACATGGGCTTGTAGGAAAAAATCAAAGGAAGTGCCCTGGAGGCTTGGCTAGGATGCATGGTGAACACCATCCAGAAAGGATGCATCCAGGATCTTACAAGTCTGAAACTTTTTGCCATTCCAGACAATTCCATTCCACACCTTTGGCTCCAATGGCATTGCTTTACTCTCTTCTCTGAGAAACTGCAGTAACGCTTTTATATGAAGACACTGTTCCGCTGCCCTCTCACAGCAGAATTCCTATGAAATAAGATAACACATGCAGGAGGATACCAGGAGAATTCAGTCACGTTTCATGTTATTACAGTGAATATTAAAGAGAGTCAATCATGTCTTACCTCTTACTGCAAAGTGTTGCAAAAATTTCCTATATATACATATATATTTCTTTGTTGAAACTGTAGGGCTGCATAAAAAAGCTGCTTCTGTCTTATTGAAATCTATTAGCTACGATGGCACCTTTGGGTCTCATACCTCCTGTATTTAATACTCTCCTTTGGTTCAAGAAACAGCTATCATCAACGTCTTCTTAAGTCAAAGCTTAAAGGTGAACTGAAAAGCTTTTAAAATAAATCAGTAAAGCTATTCTCAAACCCCAGGTTGTTAAGGGCACAATTTGGATACCCTTGCTCATATTGAAAAGCACCTTTCTCTTCATTTTCTGCGTGTTCTAAGCTACATTGCTGCTGTGCTTCAGGATGTATTGTCTTATTACACAGGAATCTCTTAGTGACAGAGCAACATATAAAGATTTGAGTTTAAATTTTTACTATGGCTTCTTTACTGTTACGAAAAGAAGAAATCTGTCCAACTTAAGCATATATGCCTGAGCCTGGTTTTAGAGGAATTCAGGATGCTGCCCTCTCAGGAGGCCTCTCTCTTTCAAAAGGAGCAAAGAAAAGAGAATAATCTCTCCCCTTAAGTACTTTTTCCTTTGGAAACAACAGCCCACAGCCATCCTCCTCCCACACTTGCCTGCTGACTCTCCACATTCAGCCAGTCAGAGCTGAAGACAGGTCAAAACCCACGAGCAGCACCAGCAGCTAAAGAAAATGCTGTGTTTGCAAGGCTTGAACCAGAGCTGACCCAAGTCATCCCAGAAGCTTCCCTTTGAGTTATCTGAACTCTGGATAAGTTTACTTGATGGAACTTTTTGTATTACTGCAGCTACTTCACCAAACGCAATGAAAATCTAACTAGCTTTACTGTAAGTTGGTCTAGGAGCACCATTTCCCCTTCAGCTAATGGGGAGTAAGGTATTAAAAAAATAAGTAAATAAATGAGGTAATTTATTCAAAGCAATGTATGGTACTGCTGGATTTTCTGTCCTGTACTTCCCAGTGTCTTGCTGTAGCCTCAGTGATGGCACTGGGGGAGCCATGCAGGGAAGGTGCTGCCAGTGCCCTGCTAAAAAAAAGTAAATTGCACTCCCACAACATGCAGAAACCCTGGGCATGAGATGGTCCCATACAATGATGGATCGGAGGATTTTGTCCTGAATCACTGAGATTAATGAGCTGAAATAGAAGAACTTTAAAATAGAAGCCGTCTCTTCCAAAGGGGAAAAAAATTCCACCCAGAAACAAACAGCAGGCAAACAACAGCCTGGTGTGTTCCTTTTAATTCATACATGAGAAGCACATACTGGTCCAGAGGAGCAGCCATATGCATTTTAATGGGATATTAACCCACAGGAGGATACAAGGACTCAGCCTGTCTCATTTTTCTGTTTTCCTTTCCGAGAGACCTGAAGGAAGGGACAAAACCACCATGTAACGCAGGTCCTGTCCCTCAAAGGAGGGTGAAAATGCATATCCCTCTACTTCAGCAATATGCAATACAGCAGTAATTTTGCAAGCTGCTGACACGTTAATAACAAGCTATAGAAGAGAAACTGTTTGTGTGGGACCATGGGAGAAACAGTCATTTCTCATGCAACACTGCATTTTCTTCCATTAGTACAATACAAATGGCAGGAAAAGTGCCTTCAGGAGCCTTGATACGATATCCTTCATGGAGAGGCTTGGATCCCTGTGTGTCAGACCACACTGATGAGAACCATAGTACTACATGGAAGAGAAATCAACTCCTGCATGTTAAAAATAGAGTTTACCATGAGGGAAGAAAGCAGAGGAGAGAAGGACATCCAATTTTTGTACCTACCCAGCAACCGGAGCAGTAGGAAAAGCACCCCCAGAGCGTAAGATTTGAGTTCAGGGCTCACGGTTCTGCAGGGAGGAAGGAGGGAGAGAGTGAAATCAATTCCTGTTGTTCTGCTTTGATTAACACACCCCCTGGCCATTCTGTGCTGTCAGCCAGGATGCCACCACCACCTTTTCAAAAAGTCATTAATGGGGTTTTTCTTCTGCCTTCGCCTGAACTGCCTACAGCCCCAAAAGTAATTGCCTATGTGATAGGTCCAGGAATTAGCTAAGTCATTAATAACAGCAGCTAATCTTGTCATTGGATGGGGAAAAATGTAATTCCCATCCCATTAAATCATTGTTTACAAGCTCCCCATCATGTTTTCAAGGCTCCAGATGTTCAAAATTGGAGGGAAAGAAAACTTTTGGTTCTGAAACTCCCCAGACTACTGGGAACAAGAGAGGAAAGGGAGCATGACAGACCAAAAGGCTTAGTCAGCCTGTTAATTCAAGTCTTCCAGTGAGGAAGTGCTCAGGACTAGTTTTCACAGGTGTGAGTTTAGCATGCAATTTTTTTATACTGGGAAGACAGTGTTTGCAGTGTCTTTTGCTATGAACACAACCCCCTATTGTATTAGGGTTATCCTTCAAAGGCGCTTTAAAAAAAACATTCACTGCTTTCTAATTCGCTCAGCTCAAGGATGCTACTGGCATCATCCTCTTGGGGTAGGCTCAGCAAAGCCTTTGGAACTTTAGAAGCCATTAATTTGGTCTTGAGTCTTATAACAGCATTTTATTTCCTACAGAATATAAAGGCTGGGAAAGCAGGACAGTGATCCCCATGGGAACAGATTCATCACACAGGGGAACTTCAAAGATTTAAGTTGCTTTTTTCATTTAGCTCCTTACAGAGGTCTGCAGGCATCACTGCTAGTGGCATCCATGGTGGCAGATGTGGTCCTCTATATAAATACACTGTGGGGGCATCATACAAAACTGATAAAACAATTAGAACCAGCTAGTGCTTTTAAGTTAAGATCACCCTTCTGATCACCTGCCCTCCTTTCACACATTCACAGGCCATGTAACACCATACCATGACTCCTGCATGAAGCCTGTGACCTCTGAATGAATTTCAGCAGTTTTCAGGCAGGTCTTCAGGCTCTGTAGAAAGCCTTTATGCTAGGAAATATCTGACCTTGGAAAAATGTTCCAGTGGTTAATGGCTTGGCTCAAATAGGATTCTACAGTTGTGTGGGAAATGAAGGAAATGGAGTATTAAAAGTTTATTTTATGGAAAAAATAAATTATCGTGTGAAATATTCAGAGTGGGTTTTTAATTGGTGGTGGTGTCCTTCCATCCACTTTTCTGTATTTAATACCAAAGTCAACCCACATACCTTAGAGTGGAGTAAAAGGTGCCACTTGGGGACATCTCCTTTTCTCACTGAACAAATGACTTGCCTAGACAAGACATCCACTTTGTATACACTGAGTTCATTTTTAAATAATCATAGGAGCTGCCAATGCCACTTGTCCTGCCCTGCACACCAGGGACACACATGTACATCAAAACTTCCTTTAGGCGATGCAAGAGGTGCTCTCTTGGCTAAGAGCTCTTCCCTGTACATTTTGGTAGCTATCAGTGATTCTGAGTGAAGTTACTAATCTGGATGTTTGAATTGTTTATTTCCTACAGCTGTGAACTGAGTATGTTTAACATTCCCTTCGGTTTTCTTATTCCCTTGTATTCTTCTTCCCGGCTAGTGCCAGACTTATCTCATTTGAAGGCAACACTAAGATGTCTCCATGCAGGATCCTAAAGGTGCTGGCAGCTTCCTTGAACAAAGAACTCTTCAAACTTCAAATTACTTTTGCCACAATATTTATCATGAGAAATTTGATTTCCCTTCAGCTACCAGAGATGCAAAGAGAGAAGCGAACTAGTAGGTGGAATATCTCATTTTGTATCCTGCAGGGAGACATGCCCTCACAGAGCTGTTCTGTCCAAAATCCACTCAAGAGTGTGTTTCTAATACAGACCTTATTGATTGAATTTTATTGGAATTTTCCAGGCAGCAAAATGGATCTGCTATTTATGCCCCTGGTTATTATTCTCAGTAAGTGACAGCCTGGACAGCTAAGTAATTCTGGATAAATGTGGGCTTAGATATATATGTATATCATAAGGTGAAGTGTTCCATGTGTCTGGAAATAACACAAGGTCAGTTATTTGAGTAAGCTACTTTTGTCTACCTATTCACACTGGCTTAACTCAAGACATGTCCTTCAGTCTTCCAAGTTCTTTGTGTCCTTGGACTTGGTCCAGGGTGAGAGAAGTTAAAACTCTGGACAGGTGGGTATTGACCAAAGCTAGCCTTTGCCACAGCTTTTCACTTTTCCGTGTTTTCTATGGTGTCCAGGCCCTATGGGACCCTCAGCTCCGTGCAGCTCCCAGTGGTTCCCATGGCCCCTCCAGCCCTGCTCCCACCCCCTGAGCAGCCCCTCTGGGATCACTGTGGGAACCCTCCGGGTTCCCCGGCCGTGGTCCTACCTGATGAGGATGATGACTGACGGTGTCTGCGCCATGGCCCCGATCATGCTGCAAACACACATCACGCAGAGGAATGTCAGGAAGGCCTCTTCGCAGCCGGGGCTGGGGCATTTGCCAGGAACCACGGTGGCATTTTCGGCAGGGACCGAGGTGAGGCACGAACAGCCACTGAGGTTCTGCAAAGGAGCACAAGGAGTCAGGAGAAAGGAGAGCTGTGATCCCCACCATTGACCTCTGTAATGAGGGCTTGTCAACAGCAACTCCTAATCCTCTAATGTTCAATTAAGTAACTCCTAAGTGCTTGTTTGGAGGGGGTTTGGAAAGAATTTCAGGAGCTCCAGCTCTGACGCAGGTTACCAGCAAGGGAAAGCTGTCCCTTGGCTTGTTTCTTTTCTTCTGCTCCTTTCAAGTCTCTCCCATAAATGTCACTGCAACAAAATTATTACCAAGTTATACCTCTTTGGAGGGGAATAAAGAAACAATCTGTGTCTCTGCAACAAGGAAGATCCCCCAATTATGGTTCTAATTACTTGCTTATTTACTTCCGTCCTCTTGGCTGTTGCAATTAAACTGAAGTACATTAAAAGCAGGTAAATCTGCAGCCCTGTTCTTGGCTGTAGGTTCGGTGGCTGCTTCCAGCACCCTGAATCCTGGGAAGGAGCCACCCAGGATGGGTGTTGCAGCTCACCGACGGCTGAACTACCACCACTTGGCAGCACAGACGCTGCTGGACTTTAAAGCACTCCAAGGCTAATAAGTGACATCTGGTTCAGAGGGATTTGTGCTGAGCTAAGAGCTGAAGTCAAGCGAGATAAACTTTATCAATATGTGATCAGAAGGAGGGTGGAATGACTGCATTTTGCTTTGATCTCTCCAGCAAGTGCAGGATGTGAAAAGAAGCTTTGTTTGCCAGTCACAGATTTAAGGATTTACTTTTTTTTCCTTATTTTCCAACTCGCTCTCCTGAATTTCTGAGTGGGGGATGGCAGTGCAATTAAGGCCCACAATACCACCAAGAAATCCCTTAACGAATACAGAATGAAACGGTCATAAATGATTCATGGCTTGTCTTCATCAGCCCGCTGGGTTTGCAGGTCAGATGCTTGTATGAGGAGTAACACCATAAAATAAAACATACTGAAAACCAACTAAATCTCCTCCCCTTTCCCTCTACCATGTTTGAGCAGAAATTCCTTTGCTTTTCCGCAAAGGGCGTCCCCTTAGGACCATACAAAAGCACACTTACTGGTTCACTGCCTCCAAAGATAAGGATCAGCAAGGATACTATTCCAACCTTTCTGACACCAATCTCTTTCTTCTGCATAGGAGTCAAATGATTTTCTTCCAACTAAGTGCATAGAGGGCAAGAGAGACTGCTGTGCAGAACTCCAGGAGAGCTGGAGCAGACATGCAGTGCCTTTCCGGCTGGCAAGCAGTAATTAACATAACAAATTATTGTGCTGTGAGTTAGAAGCTGACACTCCAAGGCTTCAGAATGGTGACAATTAGCACCACTGATGTGGTGTTTGCACAGACAACAGGAATTTGTAGATCCTGGCACTTACTGCAGTGCATTGCTAGCAACCAGCTGGACACAGCCCCGTGGATCAAAGCCCATCTAAGTCTAGAAAAGTATATACCTGCACTGAAAAATCCTCGGACAAAATTCCCATCACAGCAAACACGCAGAACTGGGTGCTTATTTTCCATGGGTTCTTATCAAGGGACAGATGTGCCCCATCTCTTTCTGGCAATGGTGGGGCAGATTCTCCTCCTATTGGTGTGATTTTTTACAAACCACAAGGCAGATCCCCACCTGCATTGCCTGAAAATTTGCCTCTCGATCCACTTTTTCAACCATTTTGCATCAAGGTGCTGGCCCGAAGCAGTGCCAGTAGTTTGAACCAACTACATCTGCTTCCTTAGCACTGCACCTCATTCTTACCTGGGAGATCTTTGATCTTTTATTACTCACACACTGTACAACTCGCAGACATCAAACAAGGAAACATCAAAGATGGAGTTATAACTTTGTCCTGCGGAGAGGCGACTTTTTGCTACCCGTGCCAAAATTGCTATAGATTCCCTTGTCTGCAACCCCACTGCATTCAACCACATATTCACAACCCTCTGCTGCCCAGCAGCTTGCACACCCAGATTTCTGTGTGCGTGTGAGGCTACACAGATGCAGAGTTTACACTTTTAACAGCATGCTGAGTTTGGCGTGATTATCTATGCAAATTACATGTTTTTAATTTACTCATTCCTTAAGCCCTGGCTCTGACAGGGAAGGGACAGGCTGGTACTTCAATGCAAAGCTGTGAGATGCCAGCACAGTAATGCCAGGCTGGAATTTGTGTGTCTCCAACCAAAAGGCTGAGAGAATCAATGGCATCAAACAAGCAAGACACAAGCATCACTTCCAGGAATGACTTGAAAGAAACACTCCTGAGGTTGCCAGAGCTCTGCCTATCAGCACCGATATTCCCGTGGCTTTTTAGACAGGTGCACCTCTGGAACCAGCTCAGTAAGAGAGAAGAAATGAAAAAGAAAAAACTAACTGAGCTACATATCGCTTTTAGAAATTGTTCACAGAGGAAAAGTGGAGCGAGGCAGTCAGAAACATCCAGTGTAGTAAAGTTAAATAAAGCATTCAGAGAATTTTATGTCCCAGTAAAAAGCAACCCTTGGCTCATCTCAAGCATATAACATTCACAAGACCCTCTAGACAGGTCATTACCTGGATTATGGGTTTAAAACTTGGTTTGGCAGTTTGGCTTTGCCTCAAGGCCATTGCATGGCCAAACTGGTCCATAATTTTTGATAATGCCCTTTCCAGAGGATGCTATATTGCTTCACTAATTTGTGTTCAAAACGTTACTGCAAAAAAACCCACAAAACAAAGTGATGAAAAGAACTCCAGGATGATGACGAAAAGGCAAAATAAGAAGGAATGAGTAAGAGAGAGGGTGAGGATCACTGAGTTTTTTGCTGAGAGGTTTTCTCTTGCAGAACATGAGGTCAGGCAGCTGCAGACTGAAGGGGCAGAGCTGAATTTTTATTACCATACTCCTTCCAGAGGAGCCAGAGCTTTGACCTGAACTGCACAGTGGGGAGGTCACTCCCACACTCCAGCCACGGACCACACCAGCTGTATTCTTGCTAAAGGCTTGGTGAACTGGTGAGACACAATTCTGTGTGTCTGAAACAAGCTGGTGTCTTGTTAAAATCATCCTGCTGCCGCCCCAGGTGTTAACCTGTTGGGAGGAGGAGGAAGAAGAGGGCAGGAGATAACACCTTCACATGTGTCACACACTCATGGAGATCCTTGTGGGGTTTTGAAAGCAACTTGAAACTGTGGTATTTCAAAGGGATGCCTGTGTCTCTGGGCTGTGAGGCTGCACTGCCAGCAGTGAGTGTGCACCTCTGCTCAGTGGCACTGGCATGTGCTTTGTCTCTTTGGGGCAGGAAGGGAGGTCTGATGCCTCCCCAAAAAGCAAGGATGAAGCCATGGAGGGATAATTGCATGTGGTGATCACTAATGTCCCTGCAGCCACAAACAGTCCCTGTGACCAGGCTGACTGACCTCCAACAGACTCCACACAGGCAGTGAGGCAGCAATCACCATGCCTGGCACGGCCCCAGGCAGGGAGCAAGGATGCAGGAATCCCACCAGTCCCCACCCCCGGGAGCAGCAGGCACTCATTTTCAGCATAACCCAGAAGACATTAACATTTCAGCAGCAAAAATGAAAAAGCTGGCTTTTAAGATATTGTTAAAAATTCCCCACATCTTTTTATACAGAGATGGTTTGGTCTTTAAGAGTTTTCTAAGGGAAATAAACTCTTAGATATAGAGAACTGAAAAATACAGAATGCCTTTGGATGGAGTCTCTGCTCCCCTGACAACTGCTCTTGCTGCTGCCTCAGAGCAAAGCAAGGAAAGAGAGAGAAGTGAGAGGAAAGAAAGGAAAGCTTAAAAAAGGGTGAATAAAACCATAATCTGCTCGTAGGTGTCTAGGAACCAGATTCAGGGAAAGAGCAAGAGGAAAAAGAATAAAAGTGTTGGGCAGGGCAAACATAGGCAGGTGGAGAAGAGGGGAGATGAGGAGCTGCAGGACAAAAGAGAAGCTGGTCCCACAGCCTGGGCCGGGAAGTTCTCACAGAGGATCTGGGTTCTGCCACTGGACAACCACGCAGATCTTCACGTTCCTTGCTTCCACGCTGAGGAGAAAGACCAGAGGAGAAGGAGAAGGATGTGAAATCCCATCCTGCTCCATGGGTAACCCTGGCAGACTGCTGCCAGAGAGAGTGGGCATTTATGCAATAGAGTGAAAAACGACAAGGGCTCATGCCCACCTGAGGTGTGAGGTCAGCTTTTGGGGGTGCAACCACTGCTGGCTGTGGGTGAGCTACTCTACCAGATATGCACTAACCTCACTCACTTGAGCTCTCAGAATTGTTCCTACAGGCAAGAGGTCACGAGGAAAGCCCACTCACCGTGCTGCTGCAGCCAGCAAAGCAGGCAGATAAGTATGTGACCCCGTCTGCCCCACAGACTGGAGTGAAGGAATCAGTTTGGCATTCACAGTTGTTATTGCAGGGGGAATATGGGTCCAGAGATGAGGTTGGAGTTGAGCTGTAAGAGAAACAGAAAGAGAAATTAATGGACAGTGTGATGATATCAGCCAGCTTTTCCAATCGCTGCCTCACAAAAATGGCTTTGAGAGGTGGAGTTAACACACTACAAAAAAGCAGTGGGCAGGCTAGCTGGGTTCCAGCTTTAAGAAATCCAGGCTACAGCCTCTCCCTGGGGACTGAAATGCCATGGCCACTATCCCTCTGCAACAGGGAATCTAATGCAAGGCTTCAGCTGCCTTGTTACCCCAACAAGAAGCCCCAAGGAAGCCCAAAGAGATGATCTAGAGATTGCTCTGTATTTTTCTATAATACTGTGAGGAGCTGAGAGGCTGAAGTTTTCATCTTCTAAAGAAAAGAGTCGCCACTGTATACGGAGGAGCACTCGAAAAGAAAACACAGAATAACTGTCTCCAAATCCTGTGAGTGCTACAGGGCACCATGGGCCTTATTTCTCCCATAAAAATAGACCTAGAGCCACAAACAGTCTCTCTTCACCATATCTGTATTTCCAGGCATCCAAAACCTGATTCTACAAATTCCCCTCAGGCATTTAAATCAGTGTACAAAGCAGTGCATGTCCCTCCCTGGCAGTGGAAACCAGAGGGTGTGATGGACCAAGTGCTACACAGGTGGCCAAGGGCACAGAAGCAGGTCTGGCGCCTTTTGATTCAGTTTGACCGACTGTAGTAAAACTCTGTTGTCAGCTGCAGGTACTCAACTCTCACAGAAATGAGTGGCATGGAAACATTCCTAAGTAAGAGCCCTATATCACACTGCCTTCTGCATGCTTGCTCTGTGGTTGTCTGAGGGTCAGCACTGCCTGTCGAGGACAATAACATGGATTTATGTTGGTAAAGCTCTGTGAGACCTTGAAACTGTCTGGGGACTCACTTGTTTCCATAGGGAACAGTAACCCCTGCCACAGGCCCTGTGTCACATCCCAGGAACAGGAAAGACACGTAGCAAGCTGTGGACACCAGGTTCACCAGCATGGCCATCCTGATGGCTCCCAGAGCAGACAGGCTGAGCTTCTTCACTAAGAGGCCACCCAGGAATATGCCCAGACACGCACATGGGATTGCTGTCATCCCTGCAAGAGGAAAAATCAGTTAGCAAGAAGAATGAGTAAGGTTCAGTGAACTACACTATGACAGGGTTTTACTCTCCAGCAGTGAGATCTGTGCATGGGGAAACCTTGCAGTGACCAACTGCTGGAGTAGCACGAATCTGGGCTTGCCCAAAAAAGGAGGAATGGATAAAAATGGGTATGCTGCTTTGAACAGAAGAACCAGGACCTTCTTCCAGTTCTCGTCCATATTGGAGGGAAATGCCAAACTTGCTGAGATTGGCCCAACCTAACCTAACCAACAGCATCTCCAATGCTTCCTGCAACAGTTGGCAGAAAAATAAAGAATCTTCCAAGCTGTCTAGAAGCTTTGGATGAGCCCTGTTTGGTATAATTCACAGCAGTCTGAACTTCAGAGACTAGGCAAGAGTTGCATTTGAAAATATGAAGTCTCCCTTAAAGAATTTTAAACTGTAAGATGCAAAATCACTGCCAGAAGCAACTCTGTTTCCAGACACAGACAGGCATTATCACACTACGTTTATTTGCGTTCACTTTTATACCTTTGCTGCCAGTTATACTCTAGATCTCACCTACCTAGACTAAGCTTAGAAGAGCATCCCAATCCTGGCATTTCTGGACTCCCCTAGATGTCACGTGGGAAATGTGGTAACAACTTTTTTAAATTAAGTTACTGTGAGAAACACAGAGGTATCAAAGTCTCCTTTCCCACTGTCAGGTCAGAAGCAGTACGTGCTCTGGTTCCCGAGTGATCCCTTCTTTGCTGCCCACCCAGCTGTACTCACATGTTGACTGCCCAGGCAACTCCCACCAAACAGCTTTTTTCCTTCTCCCAGTGGATCAACAGTGAAGTTGCTTTCCTTTGCCAAGCCTTTAATTTTCAGAAAAGATGGAAGACCCTAACATCTTTGAGACCTCTGGCCTTCTGTCAAAGCATATTAAAATTCACTAGCAAGTTCCGGTGTTGCTGGGGGAGGCAAGGCTGACTGCAGGGGATTGTTTCTTTTGGAAAACCAGGCCAAACCCAGAAAATATTGATGAGTTTAATAGGAAAATAAATAACTGTCAGGAGAGCAGCTTGCAAACTCCTTATTTTGATATTAAGATCCACCCATTTCCTGATGTCCCAGTTTTTGATAGATCACTGCCAGCTGCCCATCTGGCGAGCTGTGGTTGCAGATCATCCAAGATCAACTTGCAGATATCTTAATTGGGTGCTGCTGAGAGAAGGGCTGTCATAAATAAATGGCTGGGCCTACTAAGGAATGAGTAGCAGCTGCAAATAAATGAAGATTCTGCCATCAGTGTCCTGACAGGGAACAAATGAACGTTAAGAAATATATAAATGGGAAACTACAGCAGCATGGAATGGTCAGAGAAAGGGGGCATTTGAAAGACAACTAAGCTTCACTAGCTCAGGTTCTTTAACTGCTGATGCAATCCCATCATTTCCAGGCCAAGGGGAAAGGTGTGACTAACAAGAGAAACTGGGCTTCCTAACCCAAATGGAGGTGGGATGGAGAACTCTGGGGTACCTGAACAAGCAATGGGCTGTTCAGTCAGAGAGCAACTACAGCCTTGGGCAACCAAATGGCTCAATTCTGCTGCATTCAAGGCTATCAGAGACTTTCATATCCTGTCTGTCCCATACCACTTCTGACACGATGGGCGTGGCTGCAGGGGAAGCAATGGCAGCAGGATGCAGTGGAGAGCACAGTCATGAAGGAAGGATGCTGGAGGTCTACTCTGTGCTCTGCAGCCACAGCACAGATGGATCCCACCCTCCCTGCTCACGGACACATTTCTAGATGTCAGAAAAGTCACTTTTTGGGCAGCCTAACCAGAGAAACTGGGTGCAGTTACCAGCCATGCTGAACACTTCTAAATACCTTTGGATGCTGGAGATTTGGTGGCCCCTGTGGTTACTCACCCAGGAGCTGGTTGGCAGATGAGGTGGTGAGGTTGAACTGCTGCTCCAAGTACTTTCCAAGGAAGGCGGCGAATCCGGCCACCACTGCGATCTCCATGCAGGCTGCCAGGATGATACAGGTGAAGACGGGATTGGAGAGCAAGTGCTTAGTTACTTTGGGGATCACTAGAAGAGAGGAAAAAGGGAGAGATGTGTTTGTGTAGACTTTACTTGAGGTGCTGGAGGTACCTTTCTGCTCTGCTGAAGGGCAAACTCACTTCAAACCAGGAGGAATTTACTGTCTGCACAGACAAGCTGGTTAAAATGTGGCAACACCAGAACAAAAGGAAACACCCAAACAGTGCCATCTAAAGATTCAGATATCAGATATCCTGTTGTTATCATGGAATATTCTGAGTTGCAAGGGATCCACAAGGATCACTGAAGTCCAACTCCTGGCCCTGCACAGGACAGCCCCAAGAAGGACACCTGAGAGGGAAGAGGACTGTGTAGGATGAACACACACGTGGCTTTGGTCTCATGATCCCTTGGCTACCCCCTCCCAAATCATTAGCGTCCAGAGTCCTCTCTCCTCCAAGCCTGTCTCAATTTCTGATAAGCAAACACGAGTTACCTTACAAAGGGAAATCAGGCTAATGAATCAGATCGCACATTTTCTACTTCAGCGAACATTTTAATTATTGTCGAGATAACACAGCTTGAAGAGGAGAGGATCCCAGTACAGGAGAGAGCCTTGCTTTGTCTCCATACCTGATGACTAATTTCTTCCTGAATTAAATGTGAAAATCATTAAGTTTGAAAATTACCTTGCTGAAGTGTAGTGAGGCCTCAACGGACCTCTATTTGCATTTTGAAAATCCATCCCCCACATCCCCTATGGTGTACCAGGGTCTGGCAGATGACATTTCCCTAGTGTTGGCTTCTGTTTTCCCTTAGGGTTTTCTTTGTATTGGCCTCAGCAAGACAATGCACAGCTCACTGTCAAGGCTCTGTTTGGGTGCCCTTGGTTCTTTCTTGGGGAAAGGGGAAAAAAGGGTTATAATTAGGTTAGATCTAATATTTTTGGAAGGGGTCACTCCACAGTTTCTGGTCTCTTTATATCACAAATGTTTTTCCATGCTGTATAAAATTCTTGCTTCCTGAGGATTTGCTGAACATAATGAAGGTAGAAGAGGCATAGCAATTTTTAGTAGAACCAGGGGGGTGAGGGGAGGAAGGAAAAAATACTCTGTGGGAGGAATGGGGATGGGGGAATTCAGACATGGATAAATTTCAGAAGCCACCTGCTGCCTCCTTCAGTTCTTTGGTGGCCACCTACAGAATTTTCCCTTCTTGCCAGGAAAAAGATAGAAAATGCAAAGGTAGACTTGGCAGTGCTGAGCTTGAAAAGCCATATTTAAGGTATTAATGCCTGTTGTGCCTCTGGAGTTCAGCTTGTTCAAGATTAATGGATTCCTCAAGATGTAGCTTTGTGCCAATTCAACTCCAAAGACACAAAGGTCTACTTCTAACTTTATCCACCAAATAATAGTGATGACAGCCTGCCTTTTGCAGGAGGGAGTTAAAGATCACGCACATTTATTTCTGAAGTTGGCAAGGCTGGTACCCAGCCATCATGCACTACCAAGGTCAAAATCCATCTTCTGTGCTTGGGGTGGACAGCGAAAATTTTGCAGAGTTATTGCACCGTCTCACACAAGAGAGGAGCCCCTTGTGACTGCCTTGCCTGGCAGTGCTGGGCTACGAGTCACATCACTTCATCACCTAAAGGGGCTACAAGAGAGCTGGAGAGGGACTTTTGACAAGGGCATGTAGTGATAGGACAAGGAGTAATGGCTTTAAACTGAAAGAGGGAGGAATTTGATTAGGTATAAGGAAGAAATTCTTTACTGTGAGGGTGGTGAGACACCGGAACAGGTTGCCCAGAGATGCTGTGGATCCCTCTGGAAGTGTTCAAAGCCAGGTGGGACAGGGCTTTGAGCAACCTGGTCTAGTGGAAGGTGTTCCTGCCCATGGCGGAGGGGCTGCAACGAGATGACCTTTAAGGTCTCTTCCAACCCAAAACAGTCTGTGATTCTATGATTCCATGATCATTGCATCTCCTCCCTGTGAGTTTTCTGGGACAGAACCTGCCTCCACTGCCTGTTTGATCACTGTCTACTGCAACGGGTCTCTGTACCAGCAGGTAGGTGTAACACAAAACCCAGTGCACAGACAATTCAAACAATGCCTGGCAGCCTCCACCATCTCCTCAGCCAGGACCAGCTCATTCCCTTTCATCTTCCGAGGGAAATGACAGGAGGCTCCCCATAAAAATGAATATACTTTCATCTTGCCGCTGTCATTTGTTAAGATCAATCATTTGACACCTGCTGCTGCCTTATCTGTCTCAGTTCTTGGGGTGAAATACCTCTGGGAACAAGATTAAAAGTCAGCAGTGAAGTTTAAAAATCTCTCAATAGACCAGAGTGACACACTTTCAGCTGCCTGGCATATGGTGCTGGGTATAGAGGGGGAATGGAAAATGTCTGATGGGGGACAGTGAAGCCCTGGGGAACACAACAGCTAAGGATGTCACTTCCTCACTGGAGCCGATCCCAGCAGAAGTCATGATAAACATTTGAAGGACATCTTCTGGGATCAGCTCCAGCAAAGAGGAAAGGTCTTTTGGAGCCAAAAGAGTCTCAAAAATCTACTTGGAGAATGCAAAAACTGTGCCGACAAGGCACAGGTAGACTCATCTTCCCACTCTTGGAAGGACCAGCTCATTTAACATCCTTATCTTAATGCACCTGATACGCTCCAGAAATGACGGCAGAAAAGCAATTCTTACTGGCACTGCAAGATACACTGAAAAGAACATGACACCTCTTTTTACTGCTGAAGTACTTTAAACCCAACTCTTCAGACCATTCACGTGTGGCATTGGTCATAGGATCATCCACAGACTGGAAGAGACCCAGGCAGACGTCCCAAAGCTCTGCAACACCCCCACCAATCCCACCTTTTAACACTCAACACCCATGCCAAGGCATCAAGCATCCTCCCTGTCTCCCACAGTGGGGCTGCTGTGGGTGACAGGCCACGGGCTTGACAAACACACACACACTTATGTGCACCAAGTAGCTCTGATTTGTCACTGCACATCGGGGAGTACCAGGGATAATTGGCAACCTCATTACATGAGGTTTAACTACTCTCCAGAAACGACAAACTATAATCATCACGTTGGTGCTTGAAATGAATTGTTTGGAACATTACAATCACCAAGGCCCCTGTTTCTGGTTGGAGCACCCTACAGAGACGTGTTTTCAATTTGCAGTAAAGATGAGGAACACAGAAAGCAAAGTAATAAATTAGAGAGAGGTTTACAGCCCAGTCCACATAGGACAGTGCAGTGACAGAATGGCAAAATGTAGCATTGAGCCAAAATACAACTTTCTACTACCAGTGTCAACAGCAAGCCTCAGGTCTGAATACAAAACAAAAGGCAAAATCTCCACCTGACTTGAGGAAAAGGGATGAAGCAAAATAGCATAGGCAACAAGACAAAAATACATTCTGGAAAGAGGTAGCTCCTGTAGAAGAGAAGATTGAGTAAGGCAAGAGGTGCTGAAAGTATCTCAGGTCAGTTTGACATGCTGAAGTCCACGTGGCCTAGGCAAAATTGTTATCATGAAGCATATGAAGGAAAAGGATGACACCTATGTCAAAAAGCCTTCCTGACAAGATGCAAGCTTGAAGCAGCAGTAACCCTGGAAAGCAGATCCTTATAGTCCATCAACCTGCCTCCAGCAACCACCTTTGCTCCACTTCAGAGGAGGACATAAACCTGCCTCACCTGAGACACAGAGGTCATGGCAAGGCATGGTATCTTTTCAGAGACATGCCTTTGGTCCCAAGGCGTGCAGGCTGAAGGCCTTTCTGAATTAATCAAAGGTGCTGAAAACAAGGATGCTGGCTTGGAAACAGCCCAGAAGGACCAGACAACAATGCCCACACCCTCATGAAAAGCAAGCCAAAGGAAACTCGGAGACTGATGGGACCTGATGTGTTTTATGATCACCCACCACCCTCTCACCTAGGCCTTGGATTTCTCAGCAAGCTTTTTAGGTATTGGTAGAGGGACAAGATCCAAATCCAAGAAGGCATTAAAATCTTGGTACCTGCCTAGATCTGGGCCAAAGACTCATCACTGAAGGAAGGCACAGAGGGAGCCCTTTCCAAAAGGTTGCCACTATCACTCATTAGTCACAAGTTTAAACTGCTCCTGTTACCCTTTATCCCACCCAGTCCTGTGAACTCTCACAGAGGACTACAGGCTCTCCATGGCCCAGGCCCTCCCTGCACAGCTGGGAGCCTCTGGCCCAGCACTACATGTCTGCTCCCAGAGAGCACTTTTTGGGAGAGAAATCCTGGATTCAGAGCAGCTCCCTCCCTAGGTATTCAGCAGCTTGGTACACAGAGCAGGAAGGAACTGAACAGAAGACAAGACAGCTGTCAGCTGTACATCCCAGCTCTCCTACACTCTTCAAAACGAAGCTGAAGAGAAACCAAAATGTTTCCAAATCTAGGGAATCTGCAGTTTTGAAATGCATTTAATTCCACAGTGAGCTTTCTTTTAATTCCTTGCAAATGAGCTTCTCTCTTGAAACCTGAAGTATTCCATATCAATTTCAATCCTTTTAGGGTTTTAATCTCTCTTGCTAGACAGACAGGCAGAATGTAACAAATTTCTGGTTTAAATAATTGCAAAACAAAATGTATTTAGAGTAGAACATTTCAGGGGTGTTAAAGATCAAGCCAAGGAAGCATTCTGAAATCAAATGTCATCAGAACTGACCGCTCAATTCAGTAGACATGACATTTCTGTATGAAAAGAAAGGATTTTAACAAAATATTTCCAAGCACGTTGTAGAACAGGTGGTGGGTTAGAGGCAGCATGTTAACACCGAGTAAGAGGGCAGATGTTGGACTTACACAAGCAGAGGGCACAGGTGCCCTGACACCGAGCATCATCTCCGACCCCAAACAGCAGAGAGGTCCCCAAGGCAGACCAGAGGTAGGAAAGCAAAGCTGTGGTTCCCAGGAGAGCAAGGACTACCAGAGCTCATGCCTGAAGTGCTTTCACAGACCACACAAGGAGTCCAGGGCTGGAACAACCCTTCCAGGCTGCCAGGCAAGAGCAGAGAGCAATGGCAGCATTTATCCATCCTTTCCCTGCTATTAATCCTTCACTTCACTGAGCTCCCAGATGGATTTGCTTTGCTTAACTGAAATACTAGTCAGGCAAAGCAGTGCAGCATTCACATGCCAATTCAACAACGGGAAGCAGCTCCCAGGACCGTCCCAAAGCTTTCCTGCCCAAGCTGCAGAGCCCCTGTGCAGAGCAGCCGTGGCAGCCCCCCGCCGCCTCCACTGCCTTTGATTGCCTCTTCACCTTGTGCTGTTCAAAGGCACCACTTTTCTTTCAAGTTTGAAGCTCTTCTTAAGGATGCTACTTTCCCTGGCATGAAAATACCCCACAGGAAGAGATGCTATGGCTTCCCCCAAAGCTGGTCCCTCCCTCCTGCTTAGACCTTGAGAGAGATGTAAAAGATCGATACTTTGAGAGAGTTCTTTTTATATAAGTCCTAGAGTTTTCTGCGTGCTAAGGCTAGAGAAAGCCAAGGAATCTCAGCCAGCCCTGCATCTCACTGACTTTCAGCAGATCTTGTAGTGTCTCGAGCATCCTCCCACGTGTCACTGGCTGACAGCCGTGACCCGGCTCGTGCATGTCCCCAGCTGACACCACCCTGCACCCTCTCCTACCATGTCCTCCCTCTTGTGGCAGTCACTGCAAGGCTTGGAAAAAATATGGAAAAAAGCAATAAAACCCCTTCAATAGCCCAAAAGGAGATGCAGCCTCTAAACCCCTAAGGATGCTTTGTTGATACAAGGGGTATTCACACAATCAGTCCAAAGAAACAACTCTTCCTCCCCACACTTGCCCAAGAGATGGACAATCCACACCTCCATTCAGACACCGACTTACAGCAGGCACAGCCCCACCCAGGACAAGCTACAGACACAATGCTTGATAGAAATGAAGTAAGTTATGGCCATACTAACTCCAATGAGCATCTCCACCCCCAAACCCATGCACAGGTAAATCCTCTGCTGTTGCCCAGAGAAGCTCTGGATGTCCCATCCCTGGAAGTGTTTCAGGCCAGGTTGGATGTAGCTCTGAGCAACCTGGTCTAGTGAAAGGTGTCCCTGCCCATGGCAGTGGGGTTGGAACTAGATGATCTTTAAGGTCCCTTCCAACTCATGTCATTTTGTGATTCTATGATTCTGTTCAGCATCCCAAATTCATGTAAAGCCCAAGGCCCATATTAGGACAGAAGACATGACTATGCATGCACAAACATATTTTTAGCCTCTGTATATAAATAAGAATCCTTCCTATCCTAGGAAAAAGACTAAACAGTCTAACTTTCCCCAAAGGAAAATACATGCAATTCACAAATAGATTAAGGATATTAGGTCCCGCCACACAGGAATGCATATAGATATTTCATGTGCTAGCAAAATAATGTATATCCACAGAAAGATTAAACCATCACCTGAAACACCGTTCATCAGGAATGATGAGGTGTGTTTGCCTTCCCTTATGGAAGGTGTCTGAACATTTCCAGGCAGTCACTTTAGGAACAAGACTCTTGACCACATTCCAACTGTGACAATGGTGGCAAGGGACTTAGAGGAAGTGTCAGCTACCAACACCGTGTCATCTGTGACAGCCTCAAAGGAATAACTAAAAAGGTCATTCCTTGTCTTATTTGATGTGATATAAATTATATTTCAAAGTCCATCTACAAAGACACTCCTCCAATACTGACAGATCCAAAATGGGGTTACCTGCAACGAGAGTACTAATGTGGAAGACTGTAGTGCCTTCTGATGTAATCAATACTTGAAGCATATGGATGTGGCAGCTTAATTTCTCTACTTCAATGAGCAACAGATGCTCAATGAACCCCGCTATGGCCTCCCTGTGCGCAAGATGCTCAGCACCATCCTCAGGCTGAACTGCTGCCCCTCCATGCAGCAGGGATATGTCATACTTTCCTTCTTGTATATGAAGACCTGCAAAAATTTCCAGTGCCCACTCCAAAAGCTCAGTGGCCAGAAGCAGACACTCTGGTGTATACACAACAAAAGACACAGAATTATCCACATGGACATACCATGGGAAAAGCCCATTCCTCAAAATAGAGAAAATCCTTGCAACAAGGATGAAAGGACAAAGAAATTAATTTTACTGACAAAGTTTCAAACAATTTATCCCTTTACCTTTCTTCTGAATGTTCTCAACAAGTCAAAATTTCACATCTTTGACCTTCCATTAATGAACAACTACATCAACTATTCAAGGCACTTTTATGTTTAGAAAATAGTTTTTTCCCCAAAGTCTCTTCTTCCTTCCCACCTGTACCTCATTTCACTCCCAGTTTATCTAAACACATCAGGCAGTAATGAAACCCGCTCTGCCACAGCGACAGGGAGCGGGAAGCAGCCACCAGTGCTACAGAACCACCCTTTCAGATGAAGGATTTTCTAGTGCAGCCTACAGAAAGGAGATCTGCCCACACTCTCCCACGAAATGCTGGATCCTCAGTTGACTTTAATTAGTCAGCTCCATTTCTATCACTGCAGGACATGATGTGGGATTTTCTCTCTAATTTGCTACAAGTGATGCTCTGCCCTGTCATATTGCTGCTATTCTGGGCTGATATCTACCTCTTCCCCATTCCAGTTTAAGAGCTGTGGTGATGCCCAGCACTGATTGCTTTGTATCTGGGATTGAACTAATCTGTAGCTCAGATGCTGGGAGCTCCCAATTTCTTTTTATTGCCCTTTCTGGCTCACTCTCCACTTCGGGACGCAGAGGGGAGCAGGACAGTAGACTGGAGAGAAGATCACAAATTGCTCTGGCAACTGTATTCCCCTTCATTTTTTTATCAACTCCACAGGACTATCGTGCATTTCTGTAGCTTTGCAGTAAAAAAAAAAAACCACAAAGCTTTCAAGTGGAACAAGGTCTCTCTTTCAAATGAGGACAATGCCAGAGATAATTACAAGCGAGGGACTGAAATTTCAGGATAGCAAATTTTTTTTTGAATTTCGGAGATAGAGGTAGACAGCCCAAATATCAGTGACCAATTATAAACCCAACCAGCTGTTAACCTGTTGCTGATCCCCACGGAAAACAGGACGAGAGCCAGTGCCTCACCTCGCAGCTGCTGGAAGCAGGTCGTGCTGCTCTCCCCATCCAGCGGGTGCCGCAGGACCCCGTTGCTCGGCTTGGGCCTCTCGTATTCCCGCTCGGGAAGCATGGCCTGCTCGCTCTCCCCGGCGTGCTCCGGCCGCGGGGGCAGCGACTGCGGGAACCCGAACATCGGCAGGGACGAGAAGAAGAGTAAGGCACCACACAGCAGGAAGCCTCCCCACCACGCACCGATCCACCGAGGGTCGTCCGGGGTTATGTCCAGCTTACCTGCGAGGGCACACATGGGTCAGCGGCTTGGCCACGGGGAGGGGAAGACAACAGGGTGACGATGCTGTAGGAAGACAGTTGCTGGGGGCTTGGTTGGCTGTTAAGGGATACAAGACACAAGGTGGGGGCCTGCAGTCCACCCCACACCTGTATTGTGTGAGCCACCACTGTGTAATGACCTCCAGGTCCAAGAGATCCTTAGGACAAGCTCCCATCACCTTTTCTATCTGGATGGTACATCCAGCTTCTGCAACACCCTCTAATCAGAGCTTCTCTCCAGTGTCTTGGCTCTGCCAGCTCTAGGAAAATACCATACACACATCAGTGTCCCCTGTGCTGGCACCAAGGTTTTGGACATGCCTGTCTCAGCGTGTCACCTGTGCACACACAGCTGACACACCTACGGATCTGCACAGAGCACCAGGAGCGCAGACAAGGACGTCGCATCTCCATCCTGGTCTACTCCTTTTTCCCAGGAGGTCAATGACTCTCCCAGCTTTGAATTCACAGCCCTTTTCAGCAAAAGACAGATGGGCATTTAGATGGGCTTTAGGGGCACCTGTGGAGGGTGAAACAATCCTAAATATTGAAAAAGAAACTCACCCGCTGTATCAAATGGGCTCGGGAATGTAGAGAACTAATCAGAAAATGAAGAAAAGCAAAGTAAAAGGCAAGAGTATCCTGTAGACCATCACTCAGCAGAGATAAGGCAAAAGAAGGGTCTGGAGTCAGTTTAGGGGAACAAAAATAAACAGCAGCACACAAAAAGCTGTGTCCCCAACTCGCTGTGCCTCGCTGCCACAGCCACAAGGGTGCCCAGTGCCTGAGCTGACTCCTGGGGGAGACCCAAGTCCACATGGCTGGAATAACAAGCTCCTCTGTTCATGATGTCTGTCTGGTTACTGCCACTCTGAAAAATCTGTCTCAAGTGAGGCAATCAAGTTGTCTCTCAAGCAGAGATAGAAGGAAACTCTTTTCTCCTAAGGGAAAATAACATGTAGCTCTCAAATACAGATAAAGTTTGAAAAATAGTGTTGTGGAGGGACTGGATTCTTCTGCTATTATTTTCTCCTGCCTGAAGTGCATTTTTTTCACGATCTTGGGAACACAGCACTGCGAAGAGCCAGGTAAATCAAGGTGTTCTTCATATTCCCTTCCTAAAATAGCTCCTGTATGGAGGCCAGTACATCAGCATACCCTGGCATCCCACACCTGCCCAAAACAGGGAGCAGGATGAGGCTCAACCTCGTGCCACCTTGAGCTGCAAAGCAGATCCAGCTGCAACATGGAAGCTCCCATACAAAAATAGACAAGAGGCCATGTGTTCCCCAGCCTTCGCATGGCAGCAATGGACCATGGCCAATGCCAGCTGGACCTGCAGCTGGAAAGCACTACAACCACCCTGTAGGTGGCTGAGCCACAGCCCCTCTGTGTTCTCAGTGATAAACACTCCACTACTCTCCTCTGTGGCTCCATATTTTTCTGGTGCTTTTTGAGGTGTAAATACGGAGCAATGTCTCGTATGAAAAATGACCAGAAGACATCAAATTAACTTTTTAGCTAGGCCAGCATCTTGCTCTGATGGTAACCAGCTGCAGCTGCCCAGAAAGTCCACAAGAATAAAGTCAGCATATACTTGATATTATTCTTGTGATTTGTGGCTCGGGGGCTTTATAAGCTAGATTTTATCATGTTCATTTTTTCTTCTATAAACTTGTCCCGTTGTTTTTGAATCCATTTGTAAATTTTTAACACTTCATGGTGAGGAGTTCCACAACTTCACCTCCTGGGAGAGGAAATATTTTCTTCTGTACATTCATATTTTAGTGTAAATTATACTTAATGGTCAAATATCTAACAGGGTTCAAACAAGCTTCTCTGCCTACAGAACCAAAAGAGGCTTTGTTAAAGCCAAAGAATGAAAAGGGGCCAGTGGTGTTTGAATCAAACTGCAGCCAAAAGTCTCAGCCATCAAAAGAAGAGACTTCTTTTTCATTTGATATTATTTAGATTTCTTCAGCTGCCATGTATATGTGAGACCAAGAAAAGGCAGAAAAGAAAAGCTCTTTCTCAGATTTGCACAATTCTGTTCTGAGTTCTGTGATCATATATTTGCAATATCACAGAGCTGAAATGCACCCTCAAAGGGGACAATACCCGTGCAGAAGGGTCTGGAGGATTCGACAGAGCTGTGAAAAAGCGTCTGAATAACTGAGGGAAAAGAAAAGCATCAGGTTTGCAGCCAGAGGGCTGAGGGAGCAGTCGAGAACTGCCTGTTATATAGTGCCCTCTCATGGCAAAGAACACATAGTGCAGGTACGAGCAAAAGAATTTGCAGATACTTGTCTTAATGAACAAAAAGTCAATTTACAAACAATCTGATTTAACCCAAGTGCAGTCAAGGTGAGCAATAATTAGCACAGCTTTAGGAAGAAGGAATAATACTGTGGGACTGAAGCAGGGTCATTGGCAGAAGGTGCTGGGCATGGGTCTTACTGGTGTAGCTCCACCAGAACCTGGATGGTTCCCACAGGTTCTGGGGTGGCAGCTCTCCAGATTTCATCCCGTGCGCTGGACACAGCTCCCCTGGCATGACTATGTGCATGGGTAGCTGTCTGCCCTGCCACAGTGATATTTCAAGGTGTCCTCTAAGAGCTGGGTGAACCTCATCTCACCGCAGAAAAACCAAAGGAAGAGAACAATTTTTAATGACTACAAACCTGTTTATCAGAACAGAGCTGAAAACTTTTGAATCCCAGTCATAAAACCCCTCTAAAAGTGACACCCATACATGCAGGAGGCACTCAAGATGGAACAACAGGGAGTTTCCTGCTTGTGAGCATCAACATCCTCCTGGCACAACTTTAGTGTATTCAATTTGAAATCAAACCCATTTCTCCTTACTTGTGTCAATGAAGACAGCATCCACATAGATTTTGGTACAGAAGGAGCCCAATATAAATCCACAGGCTGGTCCAAATACCAGCATCGTAAACAGGATCCCTACAAGGAGAGAGAAAAGAAAAAATTAATACTAGGCACTGGTTATTCATTGCAAGTGGTTCTGCTTGTCTCCTGCAAGATGCAGGATGCCAAATAGATAGGGCTATGTCTCTGTATTGAGTGCTTCAGGCAAAAGAGCACCTTAAATGTCTTCCGCTCTTCCATATCTCTTCAGAAAAAAGAACAGATGGAGGTGTGATAACGCTTATGGATTTCTATTGAGCTGAGGAGACAGTGTGGACATAATGCTGTGTTTTGGTCAGCTGGCTACTCTAAAAGGTGTCTGTCTTACCCAAAAGCATGAGATAAAGCAGACCTGCCTTCCATGGGGAAATCTTTGCCTTTGCCACCTCCGGCTAAACTCCTGGTAGGCAGAAGTTTCAGACTTTAGGGCCAGCAAATCTATGAAATGAGCATTGTCACAGCTGGCTAGATAAAGTCCCTTTACAGAAGTAGGAGCACTTTTCCAAATCCATGAATCCCTTCTCCCCATGATACCCACATGGCAAATATTCCCCAAGGCACATGGCTCTTCCAGCCTCTTACAACTGCTCACTCCCCCTGCAAAACCTGCATGAAATTACCACCGTAATGCCAAAAGAAGAGCTATTATGAGTAAATTAGTTATTTGCTTCAATACAGTATTTAGAAGCATTTATTCTCACTCCCATTTTGGCCTTGAAACAGGAATGTTACAGGCACACTGCCAGCTCTTAATTATCCAGGGCAGAAAGGCAGGGGGACACAAGGATAATCCAGAAACAGAAGCAGCAAAAATAACACAAAACATTTGTAAATTAGACAATAAGAACATATTTGATACCTTCACATTTGGGATAATAACAACATCTAGGAAAAACAACAGAAAATCCCCAAGGACCCTTGTAAATAGCTTTCTGAAGGAAGCAGAGACAAGGTCTGGTCAGTGCAGAGCACGAGCCTGCTTGTTCCCTCTGGGACAAGACAGTGCTGATGGATCCCTGTGCCTGGCGAGGGGGGCAGCCTGTGCTGGCACCAGTCTTGGTGTCACTGCACTTCAGAAACGGCCCATGAAGGAGCTTATCTGCATCTGGGTGCTTTTCTCACTCTCCTTCGGGGTACATCCCACATCTCCCTCCAAATCTCTCCGGGGGTGCTGCCTGGTATCTCAGTGCATCCATAATGCACTTCATCTCAGCTATCTCAGCCCTCAGTTTCCTTATCTGGAAACTTTTAATTCCCAAGTTCTTTCTCTGTGCATTTCTCAGGAGCTGGAGAAATTATCAGAACTGCAAAATATTCCCAGGAGACCACCAGCCCTACACAAGGCAAACCACATCTGCTGGTGATGGCTCAGTCAAGCAGAATAAGCTGGTATGGTCAGAAACAACTGCACCTTCATTTTTAAAATGCAGGGTGCAAATTAATTCCTCCAGGTTGTTGGCACTGGGACCTGGCTGGATTAGTAACTAGGTACAAAGCAGCAGTGCCTCCAGCCAGCTGCTCACACAGAAACCCAGCGTGTTAATGCCTTCATGGCTCTCATCACCTACAGCAGCAAGAGGGGGAAACAAAGGTGCTGGAAGGAAAAAAAGTGACAGGTTGTATGAGCCACAGTAAGGAGTCACTGTCAGTGCAGCAGCAAGAGCTGCCATCCCCTGCCCTATTTCAGCCAAGCTCAAAGCTGCAGCAATGGCACTGTGTGGCAGCCGTGCTGCCAGCTTAAATTAGTCCCTAGAGTCTGCCCATGATGTCCATGTCAGTAGTGAACCAGCCATCTGCAGTCACCTTGTCCTGGGGTGTTGGGTTTGTGCCCCATAATCCAGTAGTAAATTAGGGAATTTGTGCTCCTTGAGCATCAGAGCTGGTTAGGAAGCCTGTGCCTTGTTCCCTTGGGTATCTATAAAGCCTTATGTGGGAGATTCCAGTCCCTGGTTACATGCAGAAGAACTTCGTGGAATGTGAAATGAGGGAAGAGCTGGAGAGAGAAGATAAAAAGGGATTTTTTTTTTTCCCAGCACACCCAGCATCATTTCCCTCCTTCCCAGCCCCCAAGGGCAGCCTCACTTGGGGCTACAAGATTTACAATGGCATTTTATAAAATATCCAAACCAAAATAACAAAAAAAAAAAAAAAATTGTCACCTTTTTTTTGGTCACTAGATGGCATTAGTGTTTGTCATTCAGCCCACAAGTGCCACGTGGAGCAGGCTGGGTGACAGTGCTGCTCACCCCGGCTCCCCCGACATGACGGTGTTCCTGGGGGTCCCAGAGCCCCTGGGAGGATGGCAATGACAATGGGGCACTGTCATCACCCACGTATTTGCCACATGCACAATCAGGTTGTGCCCTTTCCCTGTCTGCAAGCAGGAAATCACAGGTTTTAGAACTGTTCTAAAACTGCTAAGTTTTTAGTCAAAGAACTTAAACAGACAGCATCTAGCAGAGATGGCCATGGCTACTACTGTGATGAACAAGCCAGCAATCAAAAAGCAGGTTAATCTTTGATGGCTGAAGATTAGTTATGAATTTCTACATAATTATGGTCAAGCACATAAGGACACATCGGTTGGGGCAGTGACAAACAGAGCCCATGGATGAAGAGCCCTTGGACTTCAGGACTCCCGACATTGCTTTGCTCTTATTTCTCCGCCCTAGAATGTATAAAGGAAAGGAAAGTTCAGGCACATCTGAGCACCTCCTCTTTCCCAGACCCAGATCGTCAGCCCAGATCCTGGTATCCAGCACCCAGAGCTGTCTGAGGGTTCACATCCACAGGGATGGCCCTTCAAAGCACCCTGGGCTGCAGTGGGTTCCCACATGCACAAGGAACCAAGGGGGCTGCTGAGCTGCTGTGCCACTGCCCTGATGAGACCTGTGTGTGAGTAAAAGGACTGTGTGGCCATCAGACAGCTGATCTGGGGCACCCACACTCCAGGAGTGGCCAGCTCTGGGCCCCACAGGGCAGGTTTACGTGAGACCTTGCATGACCTGCACTCCAGAGGCAGTAGATATTTGGTTCCCTGATT